CAAAGATTCTTATTAACTTGGAGAAATGATGATTTTTCCAGAAGAATTAATACACAGCCACTGGTAGAGAACAGAAGAGACTTTAGGGCTTTGAAGCATCTTTTCACTCAGTTCTTAGATGTACATATAAAGTGTGCTAGTTTAGATTCCTGTCCCAATAATACGCACATTTTCATGGCCGAGTGATTAAATCTTGATGCTAATCACAAAGGAAATGTGGACATTTTTGTAAGCTCATTGAATAAGGTTGAGAAATAACCTGCTTTATACTAAGCAAATCCTCCTGAACTCATTGCTCACATTATGCCGGTGTGTGCAGAGGGGTTACTTGCTTGGGATAGAGTCTCTATTTATATGGTCGACAGTACATTAAAATTGTGACAAATGAATGTGGTGTATTACTCAATTATGGACTATATTATTTTTCTCCTTCATCTCCCTTGTTCTCCTAATTGAATCAAAAACCCTAAACAAGAAAAAGTGAAGAATCCTTAGTTTAAAAACAACTTTATGTTTGGAAATAGTTCCAAACATAGAAAGGTTACAAGGTTACAAGAATAATAGGCATGTCTTTTCTTAGATTTGCTTTCTTTTTTTTCTTTTTCTTTTCTTTTTTTTTTTTTTTTTTTGGTACTAGGGATTGAACTCAGGGGCACTCCACCACTGAGCCACATCTCCAGCCCTATTTTGTATTTTATTTAGAAATGGTATCACAGAGTTGCTTAGCACCTCACTTTTGCTGAGGCTGGCTTTGAATTCGTGAAACTCCTGTCTCAGCCTCCTGAACCACTGGGATTATAGGTGCATGCCACTGCACCCCGATAGATGGGCCTTTTGTTAATTTTTTAAGTACTGGGGTTTGAACCCAAGCACATTCTGCCACTGACCTACATCCCCATCGCTTTTGAGATAGGGTCTTGCTAAGTTTCTGAAGTTCTCACTAAATTGCTGAGACTGGCCTCAAGCTTTCTATCCTCCTGCCTCAGCCTCCCAAGTTGCTAGGATTATGGGTGTATGCCTCAGCATCTGGCTCATCTCCCTATTATAGAATCACCAGGCTTCCCTCTTACCTGTTCATCCCATTAAAATGTATTTTTCTTTTCCCATATGTGTAACTTTGGCCTAATGCCATCGGTGATGGTAAAGAACTAGGTGCTTTACAAATATGAACTCCTGGAATCCATATAACAGCCTCCTGGACAATTCCTATTGTCACCACTGAGAAAATTGAAGCCCAGACAGGTTAAGGAACTTGCCTGAGGTCCTACAGCTAATAAGGGACAGAAGTGCCTCAACCAAGGCTCTTAACCCTGTGCTCTGCTAGTTTGAGAAAAGGCCTTTTTCCCAAATGAAGTTTTAAAGTACAGAACAATATTTAAAAGAAAACAAAGTATATTTGGCAATAAATGCTACAAAAGTTTCTGAGCGTCTAAAATCATTTCAACATATACCTTGTGTCAGGCAGGGCTAGGGTCTGGAGAAACAGGGACAAATGAGTCAGTGTCTCTCTCTCTCTCTCTCTCTCTCTCTCTCTGGAATCTTCCTGTGTTGTCTGGTTGACCTTGAACTTCTGAATTCCCGTAGTCCTCTGGCTCAGTTTCCCAAGTTTCTGGGATTATAAACTTGTGCCACCGCACTTGGCTTAGCTGCAATTTCTTTTTATTTGGGTGGGGGTACTGGGGATTGAACCCAAGGGTGCCTTATTACTGAGCCACCTCGCCCAGCCCTTTTTATTTTTTTAAATAGGTTCTTGCTAAGTTGCTGAGGGCCTCACTAAATTGCTGAGGCTGGCCTTGAACTTGTGATCCTCCTGTCTCAGCCTCTTGAGTCGCTGGGATTACACTGCACCCCACTGGCTGCAATTTCTTAGTGAAATCAGGAAACAAACACAAGTGAAGGAAGGGGCATTGCTCAGGAGGGTATAGATTGCTGGACCTCAGGTGAGAGAACTTGATCCTGTGGATACACAGTTCAGTCCTGGAGCTGGCCTATTTCTAGCCTCTATCCTCTCCTATCAATTAGGAGACTCCTAGGCACTGCAGTGTGAGACCCACCAGGTGAGTAGCTGCAAATGGGGTCATCGAAGAGGAGGGGCTTGAACTGAGAGTCCAAGGTGAGGTGAAGTCAGAAATCAGCAGTGTTCACTCAGACCCATGTCTTTGCCTGTAAAGGAACTGAGTTTACATGTCACCCTGCCAGGAAGTGACAAAATCATGATTTTTTTTTTTTTTTAGCAGTGTTGAGGATCGAACCCAGGACCTGATGCATGACAGGAAGCGCTCTATCACTGAGTGACAGTGGTAGCTTAGTTCCAGAAGAGGAATTGAAACCCCTCACCCAGATGATGGCCTCAGCCCCTCCCCAGCCAATGCGCAAACCACCACCCATAAACTCTGGGCTTACCTGCAGACTTGCTCTGCCTACTTAAGGCCTCTGATCTTTGCCCATCCTACTCCCAGGTCTAGGGCCATTTCAAATGTCACCTCCTCTTTACTTCAGACAGCTGCCCTTGGGCTAATTTTCCCCTCCTCTGTGTTTCCATAGCAGTTTTTACATATCTTCTTTACTGTGCTTTGTTTCCAGTTCTGGCCAAACTAAATTCAAATAGCCTCCAATAATCTGGGGCAAAAGGTCTTGGTTTTCCTTTTTCTGTGGATGAGAAAGTGCCTGTGAGGTGAGGTGAGCTAGTGGAGGCAGCAGCGTGCAGGGCAGAGAGCCCTGGGTTAAGCCAGCTGCTGCTTATTGGCCACAGGACCTCAGGAAAGTGACTTCACCTGTCCAGGCTTTGGTTTCCTCAACTGTGATTGCTCAATTGACATCGAGTAACAATCGACACAGAGGGCTATTATGTGGATTCAAGGAGTTAATAGTTACAAAGTCACCTAGAAGAATGCCTGGAATTCGGGAAGTGCTGTGTAAATGATCTAGTTCAAAACTTGAGATGTAATGCTCTTCACAAGTGCTTTACTTTAACTTTGTAGGACTTCCAAGTTTTCCTGAGAAGTCTGATTCTTATTAGAGACAGCAACAAAAGGAAGCTGGTTTGAGCAGAAAACACTAATGAAGTGGGAGAAAGAGAAATGTTGCTGCAAACTGCTGACCTGGGGAGGGAACAAGTGCCTGGCACCGGGTCTAGGGCATGCAGTGACACAACCAGACATTGACCACTAGAGGGGACTCCAGGAGATGGTTCCCTCTTTATAAGTCTCTGAATGCCCTTCCTTACAGGTCAGTTGTAGGCTAGACATTTTGGCACCTGGGCGACTTGCTGCAAAGTCTCTGCCTGAGCATTCTTGATTCTGCAAAATGGTGCTGCTGACAACTGCCAAGTGTCAGGTTCCTGCTTTGCTGAGAATGGAGAAGGGCTTGGCTGATTTCTTAAAATTTACGAGTGTTGCTACAATAGGGATTAGGAATAAAGCTTACATTTCCAAGGCAAGAAACTTAATACTACTTATAAGATCATTGCATAGATAAAAATCAATAATTATTATTTCTAACATTGATATGATTAAAAATGATGAATTGAATTGCAATTGATCTGGTAGGCAAGGCCCAAGATGAATGTTAGCTGAGTGTTAAAAAATATGTAAGTTTTCAGTTTAGGGCTCATGGGTAAACAGTGTTTGACAACATATAGAAGAGTTATTCACTGATTAATCTGATTGTCAAATACTGATTATTAACTTAGAATGCAAGTCTTCCTACCTGGGGGATGATTTAAAACAGCCATTCTCAAATTGTTTTTAAAATTTGTTTAGTTGTTGATAGACCTTTATTTTATTCATTTATTTATATGTGGTGCTGGGAACCGAACCTAGTGCCTCACACATGTCAGGCAAGCGCTCTACCACTGAGCCACAACCCCAGAGCCCCCCTCTTCTCAAATTTGAGCATGAGTCAGAATCACCCTCAGAGCTTGTTAAAACACAAATTACTGAGGCCCATCCCCAGAGTTTCTGATTCAGGGTGTTAAGGTGAAGCCCATGAATCTGCGAATCTTTTTAGCAAGTTCCCAGGTGATGCTGATACTGCTGGTGCAGGGACCAGTTTGAGAACCGCCGAGTCGGAGCAAATGTCCCCTCGCCGGCAGCACATCCCCACCACCTGTGCTGGGATGCGATCTAATTGGATTTGTTTTAAATAGGCCACCTTAAGCAGTCAAATTTCCCAACCACTTTTAGTGTGTTACAGGCCAAAAGAGACATTACTTCATTATTTCTCCTCTAGAAGGAAAAGAAAAAAGAAAAAAGCCTTAGTGATAGAGCCTTTAAAGGACTCGGTTAATTAGCTGTAGCCCTAGCTGCATGTTTCTGACATCTTGATAATTAAACACATTTAGACTTCTTGTTGTTTGCCAATCTTTTCATGAAATAATTGAAAAGCACATTCTTGGTGGAGGCTTCTCCTTCCCCGGGATGCTCTGGGGCCAGCGTGCTGAGAGGTGAAGACCAGCAGGTGGCGCTGGGAGTCAGTTCATGGTGGCAGCCAGGATGGAATGAAGGCAAAGCAGCCAAGATGCCTGCTTTAAATCCTCCAAGTAAGGTCTCCTTAACCGCTTGTCATAAAATACCCTGAGACACACGTCTTGGAAAATCGAAGTGTCAAGCTCAGCATCTTTGCCACATTTCAAACTAGGTAATTACCTTCTCTCCCAAAGGGAATCTGTTTTATGTATTTGTGTGCTTTCTAGGTTACAAGTTCCCCAAAGGCAATGATCTTGCTGCCTTCCTCTCCCTCCATACAATGCTGAAGCGAAATGCACATTTTACAATAACAATTTAATTATTCTACATCCCTCTGAGCTGCGTGATGACCTGTTATATAATTGCCAGTAATATAGAAACCTATATAAACCTCATATACACCCTTGCAATCAATTGAGGTTTTTATTTGACCTAGAAGTAAAAGGCTTATCTACTCCTCCTTTACAACGGAAAGAGCAGACCATTTTCCCGCCATCCCAGATTGTAAGTCATTATCAAATAAACAACACTGCATTTTGGTCCGTCATTTTTATTGTCTGCAGAAGTGGTTTTTTTTTTTTCCTTTACTACACACAACAAATACTTTGATATAATCTAAGATAATAAAATAGTTGAACAACTTTGATTTTTTTTTTTTTTAGATTTACATTTGTATAGAAACAATCTGTGGAACGCCTCACCTTAAAATGAAGGTGTCTAAAAACAAGTGATTCATCAGCATTGCTTTAAATAATTGGATTAAAAGTTGTGATCTCTATTCCCAACTGAAATGTGTCTCCATGCAGTTTCCCTTAGGTCCAAAGCTTAAGGCCTTGAGAGGGTGGCCAAGGACAAAAAGATGGCCACTCTCCTCTCTGTCCTTTCCCTGTGCAGAGGAGAGTGATTGGAACAGGGTTGTTACAAAAGCCAGGGACAAATGAAATCAATTGCACATCTCTCGTTTGCAAACATCAAAGTCATAAAGAGTCTTTATACAGCAACTCTCATCTATAGACGGGAAATTCCATCATGATGGCACAGTGCCTGCTTGCCCCCAAATGTTCCATTCTTCCTCTAATCATGTCAGTTACTATGGATAGGCTGTGGCCATCAGTTCTCTCTAAGGGCTGCTCCTTTTATCACACTGAAGTCTTGGCCCTTGGATTATTTCACTCAGATGCTACAGCTTGGTGCCCAGTTAAGGGTCCACCATCCCCCAAGAGATGCCTTGCCCTACCCTCAAATCCCCAAAGTGCCTAAGAGTGAAGACCCCCATGGAGACAGTGTCTTTAGTGAATACCTCCCCAAAGATGCCTGGGGACTCTGGCCTATATCATCCCGTTGATCTTAGTCCACTCGTAGATGTCCTGTTCGCACACGATGTCGGAGTTGATGAGGAGATATCTGTCCCCAACACAGAAGTGCTTCTGACAGGCGGCGCATTTGAAACACTCCAGGTGGTACACTTTATCCTTCACCCGCATGGTCATCTCGTAGGCACGGATCCGCTTGTCACAGGATGCGCACAGACCATCTTGGCCAAAAAGCCTGTGACCAAAAGAAAGAAAAACTAAGATTCAGGGCAGAGGCAATACCAGGAGAAGGGGCTGAGCAATGCAATGGGTTCCATCACGAAGGTTAAACTCCCGGGAAGCCAGGAAGCTAGGGAAAGCTGGACCAGTCTTTTCCAGGATGCAAAGAGTAGGCTGAGTGACACTGTGGCATTTCCTTTGGTGTTACTCCTTCTTCTTCTGAGCCTGCTCCTGCCTTCAGCAATCATTCGCCACACCTCTAGGCTGCCCAGGCTACCACTGTGGAAGAGTGTCCCCTCCCAGGGGAACTTGCGCTGTAGAAGGGGAGATGGAATGAGAGCCTTGGGCTCCTTTGAGAGGCGACCCCTCAGGAGTCTTTCTAAAGCCCCCAACTCTACCATGTTGACCGCCACTATTTTACCCACAGGGAGGAGGGCCTTGAATTCCCCACAAGTTGCCAAGCCCACTGCCCCGGCTGCCAGGAGCTGCAGGAGTCTCCCTGCAGACACATGGGAGAATTAATTGTGCCTCAGAGACCTAGAGAACTAACAGCATCTCTCTACAATGAACAGAAGGTCTTAATTCATGGTCCTCGCCACCTCCTTGGCATGAATCTCTGGGGACACCTCTCTTCTAACATCTAAATCAGGACTCTCCCTAGCCTCAGCAGTTTAACCACTTATTTCAAGCAATATTCAGTATCAGGGTGGGAGATGCGACTTGGGAGAGGTCAGTGTGACGCTTTTCAAAGTACTGGTCCCAGGAACCAGCAGTCAGCTTTGCCCAGAACTTAAATACACATTCTCAGCCCTGTACCCCAACCTGACAGAAATGCTGGGGAGAAGGTTCAGCAGTCTGGGTATTAATAAGCCCTTTCAGAGAACTCCGGTGCAGGCTCAAGTTTGAGTCTAAGCCTTCTGAAATAGAATAACACAATCCTGGGATCAGAAGACCCAGACTCCAGAACCAGCCCTGGGTGCCTATGTGACTCTGGTCTGGCCTTCGATTTTTCTGAGCCTCAGTGAATTGGCAGCAGTCTTAGTATCTTCCTCACTCCTGGCTATCAGAAGCATCATAAGGGCACATCAGGGCACCAAGAATCCAGGGCTAAGCCAGCACCAGCTATATTTGCACACATCCCAGGTGTGATCCCAGCCATGCCTGTCTGTTGCACATCAATTTTCACACACGGCTGGTTACATAGCTTGTTAGCAGGTAGTTTCCACCTAAGACCTTTAGGACCATTTTAGGTAGATGCTTGTTCTTATGGGAAGTTTTTATTAACTTAAGAAAATTGGAGAATCCATTGGTTCATTCTTAGAATTTGCAGGGAGGTGAGGGCAATTGCCAATATTTGCGCAAAATGAGTGACTGGCCTCAGAAGAGGTGGTCTGTGGGTAGAGGACTCACTGTCAGCACCGGGGCCAGTTTAGTTCCCCCAGATTCCAGCTTTCCACTGGGTGATCTCCGAGTGTTTTCAAAGCACCGCCTGGGAGCAAACTCATTAGTGGGGGAGAACATTTTATCCCACCGTAGCAGATGGTGGAGCTGTAGGTAACCGTAGCATTGGAGGTCACCGAGTGGAACGAGTTCTGGTTTCCTGACTGTTCAGTAAGTAAAGCTGGGGCCTAAGCAAAACGTACAGCCGAGAGAACAGTGTGCTTGGATCTGAGTCCAACTGCCTGAGGTGCAGGAACCTTAAGGAAGGAGGGAGCTTATTAGAGGGCAGTCAGGGGGTAAATTACAGCACATCAGGCAGCTAATGAAGGGAAAAACAAAAAACAAATATTTGGGAAACAAGTTCAGGTCCCAGCATCACATCTAGCCAGGTGACTTCAGCAAATGACATCCCCTGCTCACACTTCCCTGTCTTCGGCTATAAAGCAAAGGGCCCTGTAGCCCCTTCCAACTCAGGTACTCTGAGAGTCTAATAGTGGTAAAACTAAACCAGGATACTTAACTGCAGCATTAACCTCAGGAACAAAGAATTGGTGTCTCAGGCTGGGTATCCCAGGAGCAGACCCTGTGGTGAGGATTTATGTGCAAATGATTCACTAAGGCTGCCCCAGGGGAGAGGTGGCAGAGGGGGAGGAAACCAAGCTGTTGCAGTCTCAGGAAGAGCCCTTGGAGGTAGCTCTGGCCCGATGCTCAGGGAACTCTGCAATGTAAGTCACAAGTCACATTTCCAAGTCTCCCTGGTCCTAGGCAAGGCTGTGGGGCTCTGGGATTCCTGCAGTGTGTGTCTCTGGCTAAGGCCCACAGGGGTCTGTCTGGTGGGGACCTGCACACTCCTGCTCTAATGATGCTGGTTAGATGCAGGTGCTGGCTGCTGAAAGTATACGTACAGGGGACAAAGGGGTGCTGCACACAAAGAATCGAATCCAGGGATGTGGGTTGGGCACCAACTAATGGCTGCAGTTATGTTCCCAGCAACACAACAGCAGCAGGGTTTAAGTTCTTTATGGGGGTCTCATGAGTGTTTGAGGCTAAATGTCTGAAAAGGACTGTATCAGGCGAGTCAGCCATTGGCAATTCCCACAGGGAGATTATTCTAGGGTAAAGAGGGACTGAACCCCATTAGAGGACCCACTGCGTCATTCCTCCAACTTCCCTTGTTAAATTCAAGATACCGCCAGATATGCTAATGATGCTAGCAAACAAGTCCCTAGCTAAAGGACCATCCCTGCAGCAAAAATCATTTTTCTCCTCTGTCAAGAGGTGTCACATCTTAAGCTTTCTGCTGCCCATTTTAATAACAATAATATAAATATTAAAGGATGGAGGCGACGCCTGCCCTAACGCAGAGTTAATTAACATGTTGCCTGGGAATGTAGCGGGGAGAAGAATTATTTCATGTCACCAAGACACAAGTTAATTAACATTGGGTTCTCCCAGACTATTTTTTTCCTCTCCTTTTTGAAAATGGAAAAGATTAACAAGCCCAGGCAGCCCTGATTTTATTCTTGAATGTTATATAAAACCGTGGAGATAGGGAGAAACCCAGCTCTTTTGACCTTACTGTATCTGCACTTCATTTAATAAGATTCAAATGATTCGACAGGGATGTAGTCAGGGGCCCAGTGGGAATCATTTACCCAGTCTGCTTTCTGACTGATTTGGCAGACTGGGACTGAGCAAAACCAGGTCTGTATTTATTGAGTTCTATTTTCTGGTGACTTAAAAAAAGAAAAGGAAAAATGAACAAAATGATAATCATGATCGTTGGGGGAAAAAAAAAAACCCTATTTTTTCAGAACAGCTAAATTTATAAGAACTTTATCTGGGAATTTTTTAGGGGGGGGGAGGGAGCTAATTCTATCCGTTTTTGAGTAAATAGATAAGCTTCCTTCACTGTGGAATTACCTGCAGCATTCCCCCTGCCCTTCACATGTAAAGTGTTTTTAGGGCAGATTCGGGATGAAGCTGCCCTAGTGGTAGCTTCCATGGGCTGGATGGGCCTAATGTTTTAGGGCTCCATGCAGACCCTCTGCCACAGGAAGATGGCCAAGAACTGACAGCTACACAGTTGATCAGATCGGACAGCAGAGGGCACAGAATTACCTCTGTGCCCTAATATGGCACAGCTAATATGGAATTATGAGATACTAGAACATTCCAGGCAAAGGTATTCATTGAGAGCTGGAAAATTCCCATGACCAATAGTATGACCCAGGGCAGAAAAGATGTCCTCAGCTCCCGTCCCACTCTGTGTTGTCAACTTCCTAGTCTACTCTTCCATTCTTTCATCTTCTCGTCCATTAGACTGGAAACTACTTCATGACACTGTCATGAGGGCCAATTATAGAGGCAGCTAATGTCTACTTGACATGCACACACTTAGCCAAGCCCTCCACATGTATTATTCCATCCGCGCCTCCCCACTTCCTTGGAAGCAGGTACTATTACTAGCTCCATTTTGCAGATGAGGAAACTGAGGATTCCAGAAGCTTGCCCAAGGTTATGGAGCCAGGAGATAATGGTGCTGGAACTCAACCTCCCCTGACACGGGGGCCTTTGCCTTTATGCGAGTTGAATGCCGCCTTCCGACCACAAGAGTCGATGCTTGGAGCTCCATGGTGAGAATATGCTATTATTAAATTTCTCATCACATAATATTGGAATCATACAAAAGATTTTTTTATAACCTATATATGTTTTGAAGTATTAAAATGAGCTCCCAAGAACCCACCCCCAAACTTCTTTACAGCGCCCCTCCAGTTCCTATGGTTCTCCCTTATGTCCCTCCCCAATCCCATCCCCTATCTGCCTCCAGGGAGAACCACTATTCTGACTTCTGAGTTTATTCTTCTCTTGCCTTTAAAAATATTGCATTTTACCATATTGGAAGGTATCTCTGGGAGCATAATTTTGGCTGGAGGAAGAGCTGCTGCTTCTCTGCAGATTCAGCCTCCACTGCCCAACCTCCTGCGGGCAGGCACCTCCGAGCCCAAGTGGGAGCTGGGGCCATACCCCAGACTCAGATGTGCCAGGGCTTGGGAGGGTCGGGAGGTACCTGAGATAGTCCCTTCGGCAGAGCTTCCGGCCCAGCTTGTAGTAGAGGCGCCGGCCCACCTCACCCAGCCGGCAGCCACAGAGGTCACAGCTGAGGCAGTCCTCATGCCAGTACTGGTCGATGGCCTTCAGGAAGTAGCGGTCCCCGATGTTCTGCTGGCAGCCACCGCATGTCAGCAGGGATGGGGGGATCTGCAGCACCTCATCCACTGGTTCCCTGGAGAGGAGGCCAAGCATTAGGGACAAGTTTACCAGGAGGAAGAGGGGCCCTGGGGTTCAGGAATCTCTCTGGGCCAAACAGGGAAACTTACTCCATTGCTTCCTGGTAACAGAAGGAGAGGGGACAGGACAGCACACTTCAAGGTCAGATTGCCCAGAGACCCGGGGAGTCCTGAGTTAAGACAGAAGAGAGCTAGACCTCACGTCCTAGATCCTGGAAGTAACCTCAAGGCACCCAGAGGCATCCAAGGTGCCTGCAGGTGGCGCTGGACCCCTACCCACCACCCAGCACCATTGTGGACACCTCTGGCCTCTCTTTTGCTCCTTCCACCTTCTCCTCCTAGAGTCCTATGTCTTCCCAGTCCTCCCTCTTTTTGTTCCTCCCATACCCAGGACCCTAGGCACTGCCCAAGCCCAGAGAAAGCACCTGGCACCAAAGGAGTTGCTTGCTGTGGGGACATCCGACTACCAAGAGTGCTAAAATCTGCAAATCCCCCACTGAAGCCCCACATCAGTGCACCTTAAGCCCCCCCACACACCCCCCAACTCACAAAAGCAGAGAGGATGCAGAAAGAAGAAGGCAACTCAAATGATGTTAGGTTGCTTTCTCTTTACAAGGGAAAAACTTCATCAGGATAAAATAGGAATCCTCATTTTCTTTTAACAGAAATTCTACATCCCATCCTTTCTGAATGAATCCTTGGGGGAAAATCGCAGATATTAAGGCCACAGTCAAACTGATGTAGGACATCAGTTACACTTTCCTTACATGAAAATTTTTACAACGGCAAAACTGATTTGAATAAAGGTGACTTAGGAAAGAAAGTGGGAAGGGGATGAAAACAGTGATCTTAAAGAAAAGAGTGGAAGGCAATTAAACAGCCAAAGGAATCTCAATCCAGGCAATTCCTTCACAGTGAGGTTTTTTTAACAAAGCCATGCGTACAGGCTCCTGTTCACTTTACTTCACTAGAACCTGAACACTTTTGATTTAAATTACTGCCAAAAGAGAAAAGGAGTGGAAGGAATGATTCTAGCACCTGCTGGGAGATAGGAAAAACTTGTTGGTTTGTAATAATTAACATGTGCTGTCTGGAATCTTGTTCAAATACAAATCTATTTTTTTAAGTCTATTATGTTTTTAAAAATGGACCTTCTTCCAATTGTGAAATTCCCAAAGGGACTTTCCTCTTGGGAACTTTGGAACTATAAATCTGTGTCTCCTATTTCTAGCTGGCACTCTTACCAGGTGACCTTGTGTCCTAATTGGCCTGAGCCCACAAAGCTCAGCACCTATTATACTTAGGGACAATAAGACTCAGGGCATCCGTGTTTATAGCACTTTTACAACTTCAGATGACTCTGTCCAGGAATGGATGAAGTACTCCTTAAAAATAGTTAATTAAGGATGCTGGAATTAAATCCATGCTTTGCAGACAGAGTATAAGATTGTCTTCTTTAAATAAAAGGAAAAGTGAAGCTGAAGCCAGTTTCTTTGGGCGGGGGGCGGAATCAAGACCTTAAATATTTTTAAAGAATTCACTGAGGTCTTTGTTTTTATAGATTGTCCATAAGAACTTTGATTCTGCCTTCTGAAAAATAGTGACTACCCTTGGCCATTTCTCCTGCATCAGTTTAGAACTGCTTCTCTTCTTTCCACAGCCCAGTCTTACTTTGGGCTTTTAAAGCACTCATGGAGCCACAACCATGCTGGATGCCCCTGATGCTGCTGCTCACCATCTGTGAAGGAGGAGAATTTGCACTCAACTGATGCAAAACTGCCTTTAAAAATGAACTCCTTGGACTGGGGTTGTGGCTCAGTGGTACAGCACTTGCCTTGCATGTGTGAGGCACTGGGTTTGATTCTCAGCATATAAATAAATGAATAAAATAAGGGTTCATCAACATCTAAAAATATTTTTTAAAAAATGAACTGCTCTTGTAACAGGGTGGCAGAAGGGCCACCAACTGCATGACAGAGAAAATCTCTGTGTTCATGAACACTGGCTGGCTTTCATTTGCTTTGCATATGCCTCGGGAAGTTTTTATCTGTATTTGGAGGTATGAATGTCATGACTCAAGTTGGCTTCCAGCAAGCATGCAAGAAGCATCTAGCAAGGCATCAAGACCCAGTAAAAATGTAAAGCAAAAAGAGCAACAACAACGGTGGTGGGCTGAGATGAGACAGAGGACAGACTAAGATACTGGCTCCAGCTATCTTTTTATAATTAATGATAAAGTCGGGGCTGGGGTTGTGGCTTCGAGGTAGAGCGCTTGCCTAGCATGCGTGAGGCACTGAATTCGAGTTCAATCCCCAGCACCACATAAAAATAAATGCATTCTGTCCATCTACAACTAAAAAAAATTAATGATAAAGTCACATTATTTTGGGGGAATGATTTGAGCCAATGACTGAGGGAGATTCATCCTCAAATTAGTATTTGACATCCTCCCAGAGCCTATCCTGGATTTCTGATAAAAATTCTCAATAATCTCCAAGAGAAAGGAGGAAAGATGGGCTGCAGCGACTTCTCACCTGGGCACACAGCAGAGGAAGGATGGGATACATGTACCCCCACAGCAAGTATCTGCTGTGTTATGAAGTTAGGATGTTTCCATTTTCTAATCTCAGGGCGAAAAGCACAAACTTTGGAAAGAGCAAACTTCCTTTAGGTAACCAAACCCTCCAGATATATCTTCTAATAAAAGGATTAGTGACTAAGTCCTGCTGCCTGGAAAAGACACTAGGCACAAATTCCTAGGATCTGCCCCCTTACTGTATGACTATGGTTTTGCCCAGTCTCTGAAAACTCAGGGCTCAGTTGTAATTCTAGGTATATATATATATATATATATATATATATATTAAATCCACTGTTTGTATATACTTAAAAAAAAAAGGAATGTTATTTTTCTCCTGAGAATTGGATTAAGGAAGCTGGGTCTTTGTTAAAAGAAACCTAGCTCCTCATAGAGCTGGTGTCTTAACCTTCAAGACTCAAGAGTAATGTTTATAATCTCATTGGATCCTGGTACTTCCTGTGTTTTATGAGAACATGCTGAGTTTTTATGTTGGCAACTGAGGGTAAAAACCCAGGTAAATAAACACTATAGAAGGCTGAAATTGGGGAAGGGGGTACGTGACTTCAAGCAGGAAAGCACAATTCTTTTAAAGCAGGAAAAGAAAAAACAAAACAAATGCCTCTTAAAAGCACAAATGGACAAGTCATTAACCAGCTCCTTTGGTCTTGTGTAACAAATCCCTTCAAAGGATTAGATGGGGACTTCAAAGGAATAAAAATTCAAAACCAGACAGCTAATGACTCTTAAAAGGGCATTTGTGTTGAGGAAAAATGATACGTTAAACACCCCTTGCTCCCTATGTTAACACTAGAGAATGGGTTGGGATATAGGTTGGGAATAGGGAATGTTCAACACAAACCAGAGCAGGGGTTCGAAAAATTGCAGCACATGGTTATTAGAGCTCTGGTTTCTCCACCCCGCAATCCTTTGAAAGTGTGATATAAAAGAGAAAAAGAAAAAAACTTGTGAGACTCCACTCTCCAGAAAAAATACACCTATACTACACAAAATGGTGCGCTAATTTTTAAAGTTCACAGACCCCCATCGGTGGATTCCGGGTGGGGAGCCAGTGCAAATACCCAAATTAATTCCGGGTTAGTTGTTCTAGAAGTCTCTGGAGCCCAGAGCAAGCTCCCAGGTGAACAGGTGGACCCTCTCGTGCGCTGGTTACCCACGCTGCTGACAGCCGCTCCACCTGCGGACCCAAAAAGGGGCCGTCGGGGACTCCGGAGGCCTTCACTTGAAATATCCCCTTCTCCAGGACCAAATGGACAAAGAGAAAGGGAGCCAAGAAAGGGCAAGAAGGGAGAAGGAAGCAGAATAAAGCCCTGAACACTCTCCGGGCTCCACCTGCGCTCCTCCGAGCTCCCCGGTGCCCGCTCCAGAGCAAACTTTCTGGCCCGCGGTGGCTTTGGGGAACGTCCCAGGTAGCCCACTGGGGGCCCGAAGAGGGACCCGGCCGGATCAGGTTCCTGCCCCCTTCCGCCCGGTGGGTCTCCTGGTGCCCTCAGAGAGTCACTCGCGAGGAAGGGGGAGCCCCGCGCAAGGCAGAGGGGTCCAAGGACACGGTGCAGGCGCGCACCTGGAGCCCCTCGCGGGCCGCCGGCGCCACCCGGTCGCTCCGGGGCGCGTGGCCGCGGACACCGTGGGTGGCAGGGGCAGGGGCGCCACACTTACTCAGACGGGTCCAGGCTCTTCCTCTCGATGGCCGAGGACATTGGGGAGGGAGGCGGCGTGCCGGGC